TCCTAATCACACCCCTAATACCAGGCCCACTCCTAAACACACCCCTAATACCAGGCCCATTCCTAATCACACCCCTAATACCAGGCCCACTCCTAAACACACCCCTAATACCAGGCCCATTCCTAATCACACCCCTAATACCAGGCCCACTCCTAATCACACCCCTAATACCAGGCCCATTCCTAATCACACCCCTAATACCAGGCCCATTCCTAATCACACCCCTAATACCAGGCCCACTCCTTATCACATACCAGGCCCAATCCTAATCACACCCCTAATACCAGGCCCATTCCTAATCACACCCCTAATACCAGGCCCATTCCTAAACACACCCCTAATACCAGGCCCACTCCTAAATACACCCCTAATACCAGGCCCATTCCTAATCACACCCCTAATACCAGGCCCATTCCTAATCACACCCCTAATACCAGGCCCATTCCTAATCACAGCCCTAATACCAGGCCCACTCCTAATCACACCCCTAATACCAGGCCCACTCCTAATCACACCTTGTAAAGCAGGTTCACACCTAATATCAGGCCCAGTCCTAATATTTACTCCAATACTCTGATCTTTGAGCCCTGACCATGTGAAATGTCCTGAAAGTTGGGTACAGCCCACACTATACCCAGTAACCTTCCCAATGGGATACAGAGGTTTAAAAAGTGGCAAGAGACCAGGTACCTTTGCTACCAACAGTTCCACCCTCGGGCTGTGATTCTGGGAGCTTCGTTTTCTTGCAGTATTCAGAACAAGGCTCTTCCCCTCGCTCAATCCGAGAAACGATTTCAGGCTTTGGGATTCGATATCCTATTAAGAAGAAACAGAACAGCAAGTGTGAAACACGTGTGCAATACAAACACCGCAAACATACTCCGGGAGGGCACAAACAATATGGCGGACGACCTTTGTAGCGGATGGCACCAGGCGATCCTACAAATATACTGTACATAACTGCATTCGTGCATCTGCTGTGTTTTATGTGTGTTAAAAAGAATTGTATTCCTCTGATTGTTCGGTAGTTTCATTCCCTTAGTTATTCGAATGAAAATACCGAACAACCAGATCTCCCCTGTGTGAAGTGTGTCCTCAATTACACGTTGCAACATTGTTGCGAACGGGTAATTGAATAGTAAGTAGCCGTCCTTTGTTCTCGGGGGTGGCCGCCATTCGACAAACGAACGCGTGGCGGCGGCCATTTTAAAACTCCCGAACAGCGGTGTTTTGCCGTCGAGTGTCTGGAACTAAAATCAGACACTCGAGTAGGCGAACACCGCTGAGACCTCCACAAACCTGGTCCGTTCGGTTCCAAACTACCGAACGGCCCCTCGTTCGGTAGATAGAAAATACCAAACGAGGGGATTCAGGCGAACCCTCCCTAGCCTCTATAGCTAGAGGCTTTCGTGTATTTTGTTCCCTTATGCCAGGACCGACCGCAGGGCCCATTCGTATGGAACCCTATTCGGCTATCTCAGTTAGTGCGGTCGGTCATTTTATTCCCTCCATACATTTCCCGAAACCCTGGTCTGATCTGGTTGATTTTTGGATATGTTATTCCCCCAGATCAGGGGTATCCGGGGATGTAGGATTTAAAGAGGTACCCCTACGTTTAGGGGTACATCCTGAAACGGGGGGGAATTGGTGTGCTGGATAAGGGGATTATGATGCTGGCTGAGGGGAGGAGATGTGTGGGAGGTTACCAGGACAGGATTGGCTACTGTAATAATTACTGTAAATCCCTCCCTTGCATGGGAGCATGCTTTATAAGGAGACTGTGGATTAAAAACTTTCAGTTCTGCTCCTGAAACTGTGTGTCGTCCAGTTATTGGGATTGCTGTTGGGATATTGCTGTATTTTACCTGCTGGAAGCAGGGGCGGATCCAGAACCAAATCTCGGGAGGGGCACTTAAGTGGGCTAGAGCGGGGCGAAACAGGCTGCAGCGGAGGAATAGGGGACTCTTGTTTAGGGGATAGAGGCTGTACACATATGCGGCCACACACAGTGATATGGAAACACAATAACAGATACAGACACATACACTGGCACACCCACAGATACAAACCTATACCTACACAGGCACACACACACTGGCACATAGATACACACATACCTACACATGCACACTGGCGAAACAGCACACACACATCCCTACACATACACAGAATGACACACATACCTTCACATACACAGATACAAGGTAATAGAATATACAGGCATAACTCCAGGTACTGAAGGTGTATTTATTGGAGGGTAGAACACGTTTCAGCCCTTGGGGGCCTTAATCATGTTTAAGTCCCTCTAGGGCTGAAAAGTTGCACTTTTATGTGGTGTTCTACCCTCGAATAAATACACCTTCGGTACCTGGTGTGTTGCCTGTATATTCTATTACCTTGTATTGTTGGACGGATTAGCAGTGTCTATCTATTCCAGAGCACCTTTGAGGCTGTGGACCAGAGTGAAAAGCGGAACCTGAGTGCAGTGGACGACGTTGTCTGTGGTACACACACACAGATACATACTCACAGATTCACACACTGACACTCCGATACACACAGATGTCCACATACCTAAACATACACACTGACACACACAGATGTCCACATACCTAAACATACGCACTGGCACACAGATGCACACATACACACTGACACACACAGATGTCCACATACCTAAACATACGCACTGGCACACAGATGCACACATACACACATACCTAAACATACACACTGACACACACAGATGTACACAGATGTACACATATCTAAACATACACACACAGATGTCCACATACTAAACATACACACTGACACACACAGATGTCCACATACCTAAACATACACACTGACACACACAGATGTACACATACCTAAACATACACAAATTGCAGCTTCCATAATGTTAAGCACCCTCCCCTCTCCCCTCTGCTTAAATACCTTTTTCTTTGCAGGGAGGTGACTTCCTGAGGCTGGCTGAGCCTGATGGGAGTCTGAAGCTGCAGAGCTCTCTCTCTCCTCCCTCCTCCTTCTCTCCCAGCTGCCTGTGTCTTCTCTCCCAGCTGCATCCTGGGTGTTCTCAGCCCGCGCGGTCTGTATGCTGGGAGGAAGTAACAGTCACTTCCTCCCAGCACTCCCTGCAACTTTAAAGGGGCCCGGTCTGCCAAAGGGCTCCAGCACCCGACCGAGCCCCTAATGAGGTCCCTCAACTGATGGCAGCTGCACTATTTTCTCGGGGGGGGCAATTGCCCCGTTGCCCCCCCCCTGGATCCGCCACTGGCTGGAAGCCTTGCCTGTGGATTTACTATTTACTTGTTCCTGAGCCTCACTTGGATTATAAGTGGAGATGACATGGGTAATATTGCATCTCCGCTACATTGGTTGGCAGCGCTGGGATCCAGACTCACAGAGGAACATGCCTAAATGGAGTACGGATGGAGATTGATTTTGCCACACTAAAACGCTCCACGCTAAAAGACCTTCTGGAGGCAAGGGGTATACAAGCCAGCAATAAGACAAAAGCGGTACTCGTTACTGAACTGATGGCGGAGTACCGAATGGACGGCGAATCGGTTCCCGAACAGGGGAATTCGGGAGAAACACCGGAACAAAGGGAGTTCCAGAGGCAGGTACAATTTCGGCTATCTTTCTATGGGGAACACCCTCCAACAGAGATTGTTTCAAAAACGATGACGGAGGTCCAGGAATTTATACTGAGGAATCAAACAGCGGCCCCAGAACGCAGCTCTGCAGTAAATATGCCACAAGAAGGTAAGCCTAAAATACCATACCAGGCTTTTAAAACATATGTGGAGGCAGAGGAAGATATAGACGCTTTCCTGCAAGATTTTGAGAGACTGTGTGCACTGCATAGAATCAGCGCAGAGGACTGGGTACCCATTTTGGCAGGGAGGTTAACTGGGAGGGCAGTTGAGGCATACCGTACTGTACCTAATGAAGAAATACGGAATTACAATAAAGTGAAAGAAATTATATTGGCCAGGTATGCTATAACACCAGAAGCATACCGGCGGAGATTCAGGGATTTAAAGAAGGTGGAGAAAGACTCACATGCTGAGTGGGCATGCAGACTACAACGAGCAGTCTTGGGGTGGGTGCAAGCGAGCAAGGCACGGTCTATGGAGGATGTATTGCAAATGGTACTGATGGAGCAATTTTGTGAAGGAGTAACCAGCGAGGTACAGGAGTGGGTAAGAGACAGAAACCCTACCTCCCTTACCGAAGCAGCCAGGAAGGCAGACGAGTACCTGGATGCACGCAGGAAGCAAAAACCTGCAGCTCCAAAAGTACCTTTTAAAACCTTTGGGGGAAACAACTACACGCCAGCTCTACCAAGACCACTGCCACCACCACCACCACCACCACCACCCGCTGCACAGCCACGTTTCTGCCAGCCCACGTTGGGCCCTTGCCATCACTGCCAGAAATGGGGACATTATAAAAGGGAATGCCCCCAGCTGCGGGACCGTTCCACCTGGATCCGACCCGGTCCACCACCACCACCGAGAACAGCCGCAGCCCATCACTACCAGGACATTGTGGCCACACCGTATGGCTCAGCGGTTCCCATTACAACGGTAGAACAGTGGAAGGTACTGCACGAGGCGGATCCAGTCCAGGCTAATGCTGACAACTGCCAGCATCACAGACAGACCGTGTATCTGGAGGGTAAAGCGGTTCAGGGGCTACGTGACTCAGGAGCCACCATCACCCTGGTAAAAAGTCACCTGGTCTCAGACCAGGCTAAACTAAATAAGACTGTGGCCGTCAGGGTAGCCGGGGGAGCAGTATACCGGCTACCTACAGCAAGGGTACATTTGCATTGGGGAGCGGGGGCAGGGCATGTGGAGGTGGGGTTGATGCCGCAGTTACCGGCGGAGGTTTTATTGGGGAACGATCTGGGGAGGCTCACATCTGCTTTTGAGCCCCAGACACCCACCACAGGAGAAGCTCACCCTGTGGTTACTCGACAACAGGCCCGCACCCAGGACTACAACACACTCCCGGAGGTTCAGGTAAGAGATCCTTCCCCTTCCCTTGACTGTGTTCCCTGGGCCCCTCCTAACGAATTTGCAGCTGAGGTAGTGATTGACCCCACCTTGCAGGTGTATAAGGACAAGGTGACAGCAGACACGCCTGGGGGGGGAGGGTGAAAGGTTTATTTGGGACAAACAGCTGTTATATCGGGAGACGGATAAGAAGGTATCCGGGTCAGACCCGATTGTGATGAGGCAGTTAGTGGTACCTCAGCGGTACCGGGCGGAGTTACTACGGATAGCACATGACATTCCGCTATCTGGACATTTAGGGGTCAGCAGGACCCGATACAGGTTAACCCAAAGCTTCTTTTGGCCGGGAATTAGCCAGGAGGTGCGCAGGTATTGCAACACGTGCGATACCTGTCAAAGGGTGGGGAAAAGGGGGGACCGGCGCAAGGCTAAGTTACATCCCCTTCCCATAATTGAGGAACCCTTTAGCAGGGTAGCAGTTGACCTAATAGGACCTCTCAACAAAGCGAGCCCGTCAGGTAAAAGATTTATCCTGACAGTAGTAGACTATGCCACTAGATATCCAGAGGCGGTGGCCCTGACGAATATACAGGCTGAGACAGTAGCAGAAGCCCTGATGAAGATATTCTCCCGGGTGGGACTCCCCAGGGAGATTGTCTCCGATCAGGGCACCCAATTCACCGCCGAAGTCACGCAGCGCCTCTGGAAGTTTTGTGACATTAAGCCGGTCATTAGTTCCCCTTACCACCCCCAGACGAATGGGCTCTGCGAACGTTTCAACGGTACATTGAAACAAATGCTCCGAACCTTCGCAGAGACCCACAAGGACTGGGAGAAGTTCCTGCCCCACCTCCTCTTTGCTTATAGGGAGGTGCCGCAGGAATCCACTGGGTTTTCCCCATTTGAACTATTGTTTGGCCGCAGGGTACGAGGGCCTTTAGATTTAATCAGAGAGCATTGGGAGGGAGAACGGAGCACTGACGGTACCCCCATCATACCATACGTGTTGGCATTCCGAGACCGCCTTGAGGCCTTAACTCAGACGGTACGCGAGAATTTGCAGGCGGCTCAGACACGCCAACGCACATGGTATGATCGGGGCGCCAGGGACCGTAGCTTTCAGGTCGGGCAGAAGGTGTTGATTTTAAAACCTGTCCGACACGATAAGCTGCAGGCCGCCTGGCAGGGCCCTTATAGGGTGGTAGAACAACGGTGTGACACCACTTATATAATCGGCTCGTGCGTTGGTACTGGGGGGCGACGCATGCTCCATGTGAACATGATGAAGCCCTACCAGGAGCGCTCTGAGGAAGTGACTGCTATATGTGCGCCTAACTCTGAGGAGTTTGACAGTTTGCCTCTCCCGGATCTGCTGGGAGAGGGTCAGTTATCCGGGGACTTAGGGGAAGTCACCCTGGGGGACCGGTTGAGCCCACAGGAGCAGAGCGAGGTACAACAGCTGTTGAGGGAGAAGCAGGATATCTTCTCTAATGTACCTGGTTACACTCCTCTGGCCACTCACAGAGTAGACACCCCAGGGCAACTTCCCATGCGTCAGACCCCGTACCGCATCCCAGAAGCGGTACGGGCGAACATGCGCAAGGAGATCGATGAGATGCTCCAGCTGGGGGTGATTGAGCCCTCCGACAGCCCCTGGGCATCTCCGGTAGTACTAGTACCAAAGCGGGACGGCACGACCCGGTTTTGTGTAGACTACCGGAGATTGAATGAGAAGACGGTATCTGACGCCTACCCCATGCCCAGGATAGACGAACTCCTGGATCGGATGGCGAGGGGGCACTATCTCACCACGATTGACTTGTGTAAAGGGTATTGGCAAATACCCTTGGCGCAAGACGCCATCCCTAAGTCGGCCTTTGTCACCCCATTCGGCTTGTACCAATTTAAGGTCATGCCGTTTGGGATGAAAAACGCCCCGGCTACTTTTCAGCGGATGGTGGACCGCCTCCTGGATGGGTTCCAAGATTATACCTGCGCCTACCTCGATGATATTGCCATTTTCAGCAATACCTGGCAGGAACACTTGACCCATATAGGAGCGGTCCTAGACAGGATTAGGGCCGCTGGTTTAACGCTGAAACCAGCCAAATGCAGCATAGGCATGGCTGAAGTACAATACCTAGGTCATCGGGTAGGATGCGGCAAGCAGAAGCCGAAACCAGCCAAAGTAGAGGCTGTAGCTCAATGGCCTACCCCAAGGACTAAGACGCAGGTATTAGCGTTCCTAGGAACGGCCGGGTACTACCGGAAATTTGTCCCGAATTATACTGCCCTGGCCAAACCTCTCACCGACTTAACCCGTAAAAATCTACCCCGCCAAGTAACCTGGACCCCGGAGTGTGAACAGGCATTTCAGTTGTTGAAAGATGCATTGACCAATGCCCCTGTCTTGGCAGCTCCCAATCCAACTAAACGTTTTCTTGTCCACACAGACGCTTCTATGTTTGGATTGGGAGCAGTATTGAGCCAAGTCGGGGCCGATGGCGGAGAACAACCTGTGGCTTACATCAGCCGGAAACTGTTACCTCGAGAAGTAAGCTACGCCGCCATCGAGAAGGAATGCCTGGCTGTGGTGTGGGCCCTGAAGAAATTACAGCCATATTTGTACGGACAAGCTTTTTCCCTGCTCACGGATCACAACCCGTTAGTATGGCTAAACCGGGTGGCTGGGGACAATGCCCGGCTGCTGCGTTGGAGTCTGGCGCTGCAGCCCTTTGACTTTAATATCCAGTACCGCCCGGGTAAACAGAATGGAAACGCTGACGGGTTGTCACGACAAACTGACCTAGAGAAATGATCCGTGAGCTTCCCCGGACATCCCCAAGCCGATCCGTGTTGGATCAGACTGTGTATGCCGGCTTGTGGGCAAGGGGGAGCAGTGTAGCGGATGGCACCAGGCGATCCTACAAATATACTGTACATAACTGCATTCGTGTATCTGCTGTGTTTTATGTGTGTTAAAAAGAATTGTATTCCTCTGATTGTTCGGTAGTTTCATTCCCTTAGTTTATTCGAATGAAAATACCGAACAACCAGACCTCCCCTGTGTGAAGTGTGTCCTCAATTACCCGTTGCAACATTGTTGCGAACGGGTAATTGAATAGTAAGTAGCCGTCCTTTGTTCTCGGGGGTGGCCGCCATTCGACAAACGAACGCGTGGCGGCGGCCATTTTAAAACTCCCGAACAGCGGTGTTTTGCCGTCGAGTGTCTGGAACTAAAATCGGACACTCGAGTAGGCGAACACCGCTGAGACCTCCACAAACCTGGTCCGTTCGGTTCCAAACTACCGAACGGCCCCTCGTTCGGTAGATAGAAAATACCGAACGAGGGGATTCAGGCGAACCCTCCCTAGCCTCTATAGCTAGAGGCTTTCGTGTATTTTGTTCCCTTATGCCAGGACCGACCGCAGGGCCCATTCACATGGAACCGTATTCGGCTATCTCAGTTAGTGCGGTCGGTCATTTTATTCCCTCCATACATTTCCCGAACCCCTGGTCTGATCTGGGTGATTTTTGGATATGTTGTTCACCCAGATCAGGGGTATCCGGGGATGTAGGATTTAAAGAGGTACCCCTACGTTTAGGGGTACATCCAGAAACGGGGGGAATTGGTGTGCTGGATAAGGGGATTATGATGCTGGCTGAGGGGAGGAGATGTGTGGGAGGCTACCAGGACAGGATTGGCTACTGTAATAATTACTGTAAATCCCTCCCTTGCATGGGAGCATGCTTTATAAGGAGACTGTGAAACTGTGTGTCGTCCAGTTATTGGGATTGCTGTTGGGATATTGCTGTATTTTACCTGCTGGAAGCCTTGCCTGTGGCTTTACTATTTACTTGTTCCTGAGCCTCACTTGGATTATAAGCGGAGATAACCTGGGTAATATTGCATCTCCGCTACAACCTTGCTTAATGCCTCTTAATAAAACTCTGCAGATTCCTGACTCAGGTATTGGGTTAACTGTGAAGAGTGGAACCCCAGCTGTTCAGTATTGCAGAATTCTTTGAATTAAATTATTTGGGGAGAAAACATCTATGATGAATTTAGCGGCATCTCACCTCTTGAGATTAAACTAAAGGAAACTCTCCAAACCACTAGGACGGTAAGACCCTCAGACCTTTTACTTGGGGCTCTGGATCCTGGATCCAGCATTAAATATACTGGGGCTCTGGATGAAAAAGCAACATATGTCATTTCTTATAAATCTGGGAAACTTAGAATACACACAGCAACAATGCAATGTGTGTGTGCAAATACAAAAACCCTTAAGCTGGTTCTGACAAATATTGATGACAAACTGGTAAGTATCTACGCACAATGCGAAAGTGATTGGCCAATCAGCGGATAACGTGCGCACTCTGCCACACCCACCCAAACTGTGTTAGATACAGAGATGGTCCAACCAGGGCACCATCTTTCTTAGTAAACAGAGATTATTTACCCAATGAAATCATCGTTTCGTAGATTTCCTTTATCAGCTCCTTGTAGATTTTCTTCTGAAATTCCTCCAGATTTTGCCATTGTTCTGCAGAGAAGTAGATTGCTGCGTCATCGAAGGTGACCTGAAATAAACGTTATGAAAATGAGTTTCTCAGCATTCCTTTGCTCCAGTTACATAATTTTACAAGATATCGGTACGCACAGAAACGGAGATGTAACTCCACTTATATTGCACAATTTAGTAATATTATTATGTCTTTTTGGCTACTTATTTCTTTTTGTAATGTTCAATAAAACGTTAGATTTACAATTTAAAAAAATAAATAAAGTGACTGAAATCATCAAATTTCCACCAGATGTAACGGCATGGGATTACCTAAACTCCCAGAAACCGGCACGCACACCAACACGGCAATTCAGTAAACTGTGAATTCTCAGCAACATCAGCCTCCAAATCAGCCAGGTTCCCAATAAATACCACAGAACTGGGAGATGGAAAACAGAGCTGGAATTAGGGATTCATGTAGCCCAAACCCCAAATATCTAGCTCTAAATGCAATACCACCTTGAACCTAAATAGCCTTTCTGTGCCACAAATGAATCCCCAAGTGTTTGTCTCATTCAAGCTGCCTCACTCTGCAGACTGAAAAAGAAGGAAATATGCCTTTTTTTCACAATTATCATCAAGCTTCTTCAATCTCATGTTTTCCACACCCACTCCAGCGGGGGACACTGATCTAACCAATCAGTGCCCTATCCCTAGGAATGCAGGACAAATGTAGTGTATGACCATATATTTTAAACCATGTCACTACAATGGCCGCTGTAAGTGTAAGCTCACCTACCATCATCAAGGCAAACAAATAATTCACACTGCTTTCAGGTAAAAGGCAAAATATCTCATTAAAGCGCTGTTTTGTAATACAAAACCTGGTAAAACCACTGAAATTAACCCTGCCCTCAAATTCCCACTATTCCTGGCCGGCAGCAATGGCTATAGTCAGTATATACTGCTCCAAAATACAAAGAATAGCAGAAAAATTTGAATGATTTCCTTCATCGGTGCATTTAAACCTCTTAGTGCCAGTGGTTTACCACGTCGTTTATGTCCCTGGTATTAGGAGGGTTACAGATTTAACCAATGACTAACTGTTGTTGAAGGTAACTGCAGACAGTGCAGCAGGATCCCTGGAATGTGCATCTGGTGTGAATCTGTAGTAAAATCTGTAGTAAAACGCAGCCATCTGATGAATTAAAATGAGGTTTAGTGTTTCCTTTTAAATCCCCTGGGTGCAATACCTAAAAACTGTCAGATGCCTAAATACATCCAGCGTGAATAATTAGATGGCAATTAGCAATCGCAGCGGGTACGCACAGTCACATTAACCTTATTAAAGAAACAATTAAAATAAAACAATTAACGAGTAAGACTAAATATTTAAAAGGACAGAGGAGGGGATGGGGTAAAATGAATAGAAATCGCTCTGCAGGTAACAAAGACACAGATTCACAGATTAAATTCCGAGGTCAATAAAATCACTACCATTATCTACCCATCACTAGTCACTGGCGAAACGAAGATTTAACTCTAATTTGATGTTATTGTTACTTAGCCAATAGCTTCAATAATAAGGCTTCAAAACTATATGGACTACGGAAGTAAGCCACGAGTACGAGTACATACTCCGTGCCACAGCAACATCACCACATTATAACATTTATAGCACGGCACGAATGGGACAAAAACCCTGATAACACAAGGTTACAAATTAAAATCTAAACATCTATCATACAATCCCCCTGGCAGGGATAATCCAAGAATCCCAAACCTGTTTGGGCCACAGGATCATGCTGTCCAACTGGAAGCCATTTGGGGACATGGAAACTAAACGCACAGCCAGCCCCTCGTATAGTTTTTACAGCTGGAATCACAGCAGATCATATGTTACAATAACACTCAATCTACTTTACTGAAGTAAGTAGTCAGCCAATCACCAAGCAACAAGGTCTCGAAAAACCGCCATTGTGAATGGTCACATCAGTCATAGACTGTCAGCTCATTTTACGAAGGTCTCGAAGATCCGTTATTGTGAATGGTTATTGTGAAAATCCGTTATTGTGAATGGTAAGCTCATTTTACGAAGGTCTCGAAGATCCGTTATTGTGAATGGTCACATCAGTCAGACTGTAAGCTCACGTTACGAAAGTCTCGAAGATCCGTTATTGTGAATGGTAAGCTCATTTTACGAAGGTCTCGAAGATCCGTTATTGTGAAGATCCGTTATTGTGAATGGTCACCTCAGTCAGACTGTAAGCTCACTTTTGTGAAGATCCGTTATTGTGAATGGTTATTGTGAAGATCCGTTATTGTGAATGGTAAGCTCATTTTACGAAGGTCTCGAAGATCCATTATTGTGAATGGCCACATCAGTCATAGACTGTAAGCTCATTTAACAAAGGGCTTTCCTCAACTCTTCCCTCTGTAATATTCCTTATGTTGCAAATATCTCTTTTCTAGAAATGTAAAGCGCTGCGGAATAGGTTGGCGCTATATAAACGCTAATAATATTAATCAGCTTAAGTAGAAACTAATTTGTCTATATTGATCATTAATCATATGTTTGCTCTTTTTTCATAATAATCAATTAACCTGGAATTACAGATTCTCATACATGATGGATTTATATGAAAGTGTTGATGGTTAAGTTAGGCCAGATATGTTCCCGTTCCACCAACGGCCCGTGGAAGACGAATGACTAAGGATATATTGGTAGAGAGCGGAGGGTTAACGTACTGGATCAATCGGTTTTAGTGCTTTTCAGTAACATCTTTCAGGCAATTGCGGCAGTCACATGTGCAGTCTGTTACAGTGATCTGCGGCCATATCTTACCAGAGATGAGGGAATCTAACCTATAAAGATCACACCGTTATAAGATGGCCTGTCCCCCACCAGTCAATCAGCCACTCTCCCTCTGATCACCTTGGCCACAGTGCATATATTATTATTAGATTTATATAGCGCCAACAAATTCTGTAGTGCTGTACAATGTATAACCTGGACTGCTCTCTCTAGTCCTGCTCAATGAGAGCTGAGAGACAGTCATGTTACACTCTGCTTTCCATATAGCGAATAATACGAATTTAGACCCCAACATTTCCCTTTAAGAAACGAACAGTTTTTGGCTTCTGTATTATAAAACCCATCCCCCAATCTCCGTCTCCTTATCTTACAGCAAACAATAGGCTTCCTAGTTCACGCCTTCCTGGGGGCCGTGGAGGGAGTACTGGGAAAGCCATAAAGCTCTCAGCCCAGCAGGAAGAGTCTCTACAATGTGAACCCTGTAACAATAGCAAACATAACAGTTTGCACTATTCAGCCCATTGTATTCAAAACACAGAGAAGGCGTCCCTTCATGGAACATTCCCTCTATCAGACTATGTCCCCTTTATTAATGCACGCCAAACCGGGCTGGGAGGGGGTATTACCAGACCCTCTCGCATGATCTATAGAACTATCCTGCTATGCTATACAGCAACAGGAACCGGGAGCTAAAACCAGACCCTCTCACATGATCTATAGAACTATCCTGCCCGGCTATACAGCAACAGGAACCGGGAGCTAAAACCAGACCCTCTCACATGATCTATAGAACTATCCTGCCCGGCTATACAGCAACAGGAACCGGGAGCAAAAACCAGACCCTCTCACATGATCTATAGAACTATCCTGCCCGGCTATACAGCAACAGGAACCGGGAGCAAAAACCAGACCCTCTCACATGATCTATAGAACGATCCTGCTATGCTATACAGCAACAGGAACCGGGAGATAAAACCAGACCCTCTCACATGATCTATAGAACTATCCTGCCCGGCTATACAACAACAGGAACCGGGAGATAAAACCAGACCCTCTCACATGATCTATAGAACTATCCTGCCCGGCTATACAGGAACAGGAACCGGGAGATAAAACCAGACCCTCTCACATGATCTATAGAACTATCCTGCCCGGCTATACAGCAACGGGAACCGAGTGATAAAACCAGACCCTCTCACATGATCTATAGAACTATCCTGCCCGGCTATACAGCAACAGGATCCGGGAGATAAAACCAGACCCTCTCACATGATCTATAGAACTATCCTGCTATGCTATACAGCAACAGGAACCGGGAGATAAAACCAGACCCTCTCACATGATCTATAGAACTATCCTGCTATGCTATACAGCAACAGGAACCGGGAGATAAAACCAGACCCTCTCACATGATCTATAGAACTATGCTATACAGCAACAGGAACCGGGAGATAAAACCAGACCCTCTCACATGATCTATAGAACTATCCTGCCCGGCTATACAGGAACAGGAACCGGGAGATAAAACCAGACCCTCTCACATGATCTATAGAACTATCCTGCCCGGCTATACAGGAACAGGAACCGGGAGATAAAACCAGGCCCTCTCACATGATCTATAGAACTATCTGGCTATGCTATACAGCAACAGGAACCGGGAGATAAAACCAGACCCCCTCACATGATCTATAGAACCATCCTGCCCGGCTATACAGCAACAGGAACCGGGAGATAAAACCAGGCCCTCTCACATGATCTATTGAACTATCCTGCCCGGCTATACAGCAACAGGAACCGGGAGCAAAAACCAGACCCTCTCACATGATCTATAGAACTATCCTGCCCGGCTATACAGCAACAGGAACCGGGAGCAAAAACCAGACCCTCTCACATGATCTATAGAACGATCCTGCTATGCTATACAGTAACAGGGTGATATAATTCAAAGTACAAGACTAGCAGAGATTTAAAGGCACTATAGTCACCCAGACCACTTCAGCGCAATGAAGTGGTCTGGGTGCCAGGTACCACAGGTTTTAACCCTTCAGATGCAATGTTTACATTTGGGGTTAATCCAGCCTCTAGTGGATGTCTTCCTGACAGCCACTAGAGGCGCATCTGCGATGCTGGATGCAAATTTCACCTCCATCGTGCAGAGCGTCCATAGGAAAGCATTGAGAAATGCTTTCCTATGGACACTTTGAAAGAGCCGCGGCACTTGCTGCGCATGCGCATTCCGCTCCACTGACGTCAGACGGGGGAGCTGACGTCGGTAGGGGAGGAGAGGTCACCAGCGCAGAGGGAGCCCAGCGCTGGAATAAGGTAAGCTGCTAAAGCGGTTTTAACCCGTTCAGCGCCACGGGAGGGTGACCCTGAGGGTACTATAGGGTCAGGAAAACCCCTCAAATTGTGATTAAACGTAGAGGTTTAGGAGTCTCCGATTAAAGAAATCCTTCCGAACGCCTCGCCAGCCACAAAGAGAAAAATGAAAACCTGGAATCAAATTTATAGAAGTTCCCTTTTCTGGAATAATAAAAAGGAAAATTATCTTCCTGAAGCGTCTCGTCGTGCTGAACAGTCAGGCAGAGAAAAAACACATTTTACTTTAGTTGCGATTCCTTTTCAAAATTGACACACAAAAAAAAAAAAAAAAAAAAGTTGAAAGTAACAATTTCCAGAAAAGATAAGTTTATAAAATTGTATGTAATTTAGATCATTTGATTTATTTCAATACATTTTTAATAAATTGTGATGATCCAAGACTTTGTGCTTTCAGCTGGCGCTGTTCCTCTGTGTGCCAGAGCTGGTTATAGTGTGGGACAGCCTCTGGGTATGAATCAACGCTACAGGAGGAAGGGTTCAATGCTGGCTTAATTACACAATATGCAGCAACCTCCATCTTACATGCCTTCTATATCGTCACCCAAATCAATCGGCATGCACACCCTGAATGGTTTAATGATACCACCAATGGAAACGAACGCGGAAATCCCAATATCATTAGGTGTACTGGATGGCATACACCGGGCGGCCTGCTTTGGGAAGGTTTTCCACACCCTCCCATAATAACTAAAAACGCCCCCTTACAGAAGCAGATACTGCGTTTTACATAACGCCAGGAAATGGATGGGTCTCCAATGAGGTAAACAGCTTATCACAACTTCTCCTTTAGGTTAAACTGGGGCTCGGCTAATCCCATGGTGACTAGCACTTGGGTGTTTATTGTCCCATTTATCACTGCAGCAATGCCTGCCGGAGCCGTGGTGGAACTACATGGTTGCTGAGGTAGCGTGTGCGACTGGGCCCTCTCTGTTTCTCCTGTCACTTCTCCTGTTTCTCCTCTCCAGATAGGACTTCAGCCCCGGCATCACTACACAGCGCGCAAGGGAGTAGAGCTTGAGAATTACATACCGGTCCCACTGGTTCCCAGGGAAAGGACCCACTCAAGCACTCCTAAAAGGTAGGGAGTCTGGATAGACATTAATTAAAATAAAATAAATAATTTGTGAGTGTGTGTCTGTCAGTAAGTATGTGTGCTTATTGGTACCTTAATCCTAAAATACAAGGCACGTTTAATGCCTTCAAGGTTTGGTTCTAGTCTTCTTTAGGTGTAGATTTAAAAGAGCACTATAGTTGTCGGGAATACAAACATGTGTTCCTGACACTAGTGTTAAAGTAGTAAGGTGATCTGCCCCATCTGAACGCCATGCTGGTCTCGCCGTGGCTGGCCCTGTCTCCATGGCTGAGACCATTAATCATGAAGATCCCAGACAATCCATTGCTTTCCCATAGGAAAGGATAGAAAGGCTATTGCGCATGTGTGGCAAAACGCAGTGCTGCGCCAATCAGCATATCCTTACAGAGATGCATTGCATCACTTCATCTCTATGGAGAACGTTCAGAGCCTCCATGTGCAGCACTGACACAGGAAGCACCTCTAGCGGCCGCCTGAGTGACTGCACCTAGAGGTATTAGTAGACACCAATGTAAACATTGAAAACCCTTCAGGAACGAGTTGTAGTGGTTCTGGTGACTATATTGTCCCTAAAAGATCTGTTTTTTTTTGTTGTTGAAAATAAAGCTTTGCTAGTTTAATATTATTTTAGTTGGTTCCTGGATTCAAAGCAAATTTGCCAAGCCCTGTGATAAATAAATAGTGATAGTGTGGGATTTTGATGATGCAATGGTGCATGAATGGTTGTCACATGCTGGAGTAATTACAAGTTACACATACACTGTCTGGATAGAAGCCAAGTGTCACATGACATATTATTACCCTGGGTGGGGTTGTGGAATTACCTGTAATCCATTGTGTTATGTGACTATAATAGACACACCCAAGCCTATTACAAGAGTATCCACCTACCCCGTGATCTATAAATGGTGCCGCACCCAGCAGCTAATGGCTAAGAGGCCTTGTAAGCGGACATGGCACATGGAAAACCTCCAAACACAGCATGAATTAAAGGCACGGTGTCACTTTACAGACGGGTTGGAAATGGCCAATAGTTCCATGGGTAAAGTGAATGTAAAAAAACAGCAACATAATTTAAAGACCCAGCGATTTGCTTTGCATTGTCTCCAGGATACATCACATGGAAGTGGCTGCAATCAGCGGTCTCCTGTTAGATGGACAGGGAAAATACTCACATGACGTGTGCGCTAAATGTTCTATCACGAAATGAGCTCGTATTGCTGAAAGTATTTCCATTAAAATCAGGGATTGCGTGGCTGGTTATTCTACAGATCGGCCCCGTTACGAGCCGGCTCTGAAGGAGCAGTCAGTCACTGCATTGCTAATAAAGCCTCAGCAAAGTTAATATTAACCAACATGGAAGTCATCGCCTCTCCTGGGTCTTACTGTGTGACAATCAACAGTTGGCGGGCGATGTCCTATAAACAAGATGAGGAAGACATAGGCCAACCTCAGTGATCTTTAATAAAGAATTAGAGAAAATCTTCTTGTGTAGTTCAACATCTTGTATATAACATTGAGATCAATATATCGAGGGGGTGAGTTTAGCTGTGAGAGGGAGCAGACATGTTTTAGTGGAGCTCTGTTCATCCACATACTGTACTACAACAATGCTATGATTTCAGAGGGGTCAATCTCGGAACATTCCATGTCTTGACACGCTGTGCACCTACAAATGTAACTCCTCTTTAGACTCAGTTTCACATTTATCCCCAGCAACTAACAGGGACATTCACGCTCTGCTTCACAATTTACACAAAATTTGGAAACACAACTGGAGTGGAAAAGAAAGCTCACGGGTGGCTGCCCCGGGAAATGGGTAGACAAACTCACCCAACAGGTGGACTCTTTGCAGGCCAAAAACACCAGGAGTGCGATGCACAACTTCGAGAGATACAGAGGCTTCCTTACACCTAATGTGCCACGACGCCTGCTGGGTGCTCTGCAGTGGGGCACATTCCCATGCAGTATGTCCTCTTGTCGCTTCGGTCTCCTCTCTCTGTAGTCGCACATTACGTAACACTACTTTAACATCATTAAACAAGGGTCAAAATAACCTTTTGTTTAGTGACCCTGAGAAGTTAACAGGAGAAACCCCGATCTACAGTTTCATCCCGGAGACTTAGAGCATGGGTGATGACTAAATAAATCTCCAGTTGGACTTTACAATCTAAGATTCTCAAAGACATAGAACTTCAAAAGGGAAGGAACAATGCATTTGTTCGTATGTAAACATTCAAGTTAAATCCAGAGTGTTTGGCAAGAGGAGCCAAGTTCTCACAGGAGGCTCACTTCCATATTAAAATCATAAAGGAATAGAACTTGATTAAATATACAGAAACCAGGCATGATCTACAGATGTTCCCTAAACTTTGTGATTGATATAACAAAGTGTAAACTGTATCCTTGATATATCCACTTATGTCATTTGATAATATTCATACAGATTAGCTGAATAAATGATATGTACATAACCGGATACATAAAGTAATTTAAACAGCGACCAGTATAAGTGAATTAAAGGACCGCTATAGTGCCAAGAAAACACACTCGTTTTCCTGGCACTATAGTGCCCTGAGGGTGCCCCCACCCTCAGGGTCCCCCTCCCGCCCGGCTCTGGAAAGGGGTTAAAACTTACCTTTTTCCAGCGCTGGGCGGAGAGCTCTCCTTCTCTCCTCCTCCGTTCCTCCCCGCCGGCTGAGCTGCGCGCGCATTCAGCCGGTCGCATAGGAAAGCATTTACAATGCTTTCCTATGGACGCTGGCGTGCTCTCACTGTGAAAATCAAGCGCCTCTAGTGGCTGTCAATGAGACAGTCACTAGAGGATTAGGGGGAAGGCTTAACCCATTAATAAACATAGCAGTTTCTCTGAAACTGCTATGTTTATTAAAAAATGGGTTAACCCTAGCTGGACCTGGCACCCAGACCACTTCATTAAGCTGAAGTGGTCTGGGTGCCTAGAGTGGTCCTTTAAAGGTCAATTCATTTATTCAATTAAGGTTGTCATACCTGGGGAAAAAGTACCATCTCTGGTCTGAGTCCTCAGGGGCAAAATTAATCATTATATATTAAGAAACGTCCATTATCAATCAAAACCAAAATCATAATCCCAGGTATGACACAGTTAAAAAAAAAAAGGGGCAGGAACTGAAAGTAGTAAATAAAGGTTAAATATGGTGAAAAATTAGAGAAAGCAGGTTTAGGAATCTTCAGATCATCAAATACCTAGGAAGATCAGAGGGCTAAGTAATCAGGAGACTGACTGAATTTGGATACATTGAGTTACAGACCAGGAGAATCCCAAATTGAATTTAAAACTTAGCTAATGTTCAAGTAGATATTAGCTGTATTAGTCCAGTGATGTAAAAAAAAATAAAGATAAAATTCGTATGTTGTAATACCTTTTTTTATTGGACTAACAGAATTTTTTAATGACAAGCTTTCGGGAGAACCTCCCTTTCTCATGTCTAAAGCATTTCTGAGCAAGATGACACATAGAATTCAAAGTTGAGTTGTGATACAGGGGTTAAAGCGACAGGAGTGCAGATAAGACACAGGTTTGTTAGACAATAGACACCATTCTTGCAGAGGGTCGTAAATATCTTGTGTGAAGATCACAGAGTGAGTGAAAGGGAGAGAGAGGAAAAAAAAAAACAACAACAAGCAAACAGTGCAGAAGATGGTACTACAAGGGGGGGGGAGTAAGAACAAAATAATTACTTATATTAATATGAAAATGCATGAAGTCCCATCCAAGAGTTATAGGATATGCATGAAGGCCTATATTCAGCATACACAGACACACACAAAAGTAGTGTATATGTACAAGTATACACAAGTACATACAACAATATACATATAAATACAACCAAATGCCCAAATATATGTACATGCACACTGTAGCGGGACACCTGGTAACCTGACTGGTTACCTCTGCTATAGAAGGATTAAGCGACCCATCTTCCGCAGTGTCCAGACGACACACAGTTCCAGGGGTACAACAACAGAGTGGCCACACTCTGATTTATACTTTTCCCCATGCAAGGGGAGGATGATATGTACATACTATATAATGATATATATATATATTATACACAAAGACAATGTCCCCTCCCAGGGTTCTCCCCCTCTCAGAGGTCGTATAACAGATCCGGGACCCCAGACTCTTTGTCTTCTATTCCCGCCACTCAGTGGTGCCTCCCAAGGGCCCTCTATCGGAAACGGAACTCCCATCCCTTTGTCCCCTGTTCCCACCACCTATCCTCAGGGTTACACACCTCCGCTGGCCAGGGGTCTTTATCCCATGAGCCTCTGTACTGGGGAGGCCCAGCGCGGGAAGGTTTCCTGCCTTTGGGACTGCCAGGCACAGAAAGCCGCCAAACCGCCATTGTTCCCAAGAGAGTGTCCCCACCACTCTCAGGGTTCCCCTCCCCCCCCGAACTATCTCCGTTCGTGGGATTCCTGGGTGAAACCAGGCAACGGAATCGTCTTCGTTTGGAACATGAATGCTCCCCCTGGCCGCCACCCATCTATACGAACGGCAGCCACCCAGGGAAGCACTCATTAATTACTTCCCTTGCGGTTTCACACTTATGTTGCAAACTGCCAACGTTCTAATTGATTGGTGTGAACACTCCAAGGGGCACTGGGGAGGTCTCCGTTCGGGAACCGAATGGGGTGTGAAGCAATCCGCAAACGCTCCCCCGGATGGCTTTTGTCTAATGAACGGGCCACCACCCAGGGTCAGCACGCACCGAGGCTTCTCTTGCGGTTCTATTGCTCATTAAAGGACCACTCTAGGCACCCAGACCACTTCAGCTTAATGAAGTGGTCTGGGTGCCAGGTCCAGCTAGGGTTAACCCATTTTTTCATAATTATAGCAGTTTCAGAGAAACTGCTATAATTATGAATGGGTTAAGCCTTCCCCCTAATCCTCTAGTAGCTGTCTCATTGACAGCCACTAGAGGCGCTTGCGTGCTTCTCACTGTGATTTTCACAGTGAGAGCACGTAAGCGTCCATAGGAAAGCATTGTAAATGCTTTCCTATGCGACGGGCTGAATGCGCGCGCAGCTCTTGCCGCGCGTGCGCATTCAGCCCAGGAGGAGGAATGGAGGAGGAGAGAAGGAGGAGAGCTCTCCGCCCAGCGCTGGAAAAAGGTAAGTTTTTACCCCTTTCCCCTTCCAGAGCCGGGCGGGAGGGGGTCCCTGAGGGTGGGGGCACCCTCAGGGCACTATAGTGCCAGGAAAACGAGTATGTTTTCCTGGCACTATAGTGGTCCTTTAACTAGGTGTGGACGATCTAAACAAACATTCTAAATGGGGTATGGAAGTGGTCCCCGTTCGGGAGGCGAACAGAGCTCGTTCGTCTGGGTACTCCTGAACTGAGAGCAGGCAAAATACACAAATACACAGTTATATGGGAAAACATGGGGGTGTCACACATCAATTCACAGATAGTAAGTAGACCCGCCACACACACAAGCACCAATACATGTACCTACACATACATAGCCATATAGATATGTAGATACACACACTTATACACTTGTTAGTCCAACAAAAAGGTATTACAAGATACAAATTTTATGTTTTTTACATCTATCTATCCACCCAGAGATAAATTATACCAAAGCTAGAAGAAACCATAAATTCTAAGTTTCTGGCTTATATCACACTAGGGTTAACGTAGTTGTGGACTATCATTGTATAAAGTTATATATCAGATGATATTGGCGTAGAGCTATTATTCATTATTATTGGCATTTATATAGTGCCAACAAATTCCGCAGTTGGTTTATATTTAAACTGATTAATAAACCAACAGTTGTTTCCTTAATGAAAGGGGCGCCATATTATTAATTCTGTGTACTGGGCTCTGCGGGAAATTCGTATAGGTTTTATTGTCCTTTACTGAGCAGCTTGGAGATGAAAAGAGATGTACGTAATAGTAACCATTAGGCTTGCCAATTAAATTAATCGACTGGTTGATTTGAAATGTTATACGGTGTGGCAAATTGATTATAATCAATTATATTTATTTTAGTTGCTTTGGGTTTAGTGTGCATTATTAAACTTAAATAGATTTTAAACATCTGCTGTTAATAAGGGTTTATATCATCGCTTAAACACAAAGAACTATAGGGTCCCTGAAGGCTGTTTGTGAATATCACCAGGTATTATTATATCTATATACCATACATATAAAACCTTAGATTACACAACAAGATCAAAAATGACGAGAAAAATAAATACGTTTTGGCCTAGATGATTTTGTCACATGACTAAGGACTCTTGGCCGAAACGTATCTTGTTTTTATTAGATCACCAATAAATATATTTGTTTGCCTTCACCCTACGTTGTGATGCCTGTGGACCTGTATTTTTAGTTTATCCTGGGTGAACCTTACTCTCAGGCAGCGTGGACTAAAATACCGATGGACTCACTGGAATCACTTGGAGTCAAGCAAGAAGCTGGAATTCTTATGAGATTGTCAGAACATCTTTTTTAAATTAAATAGAATCGGGGTGTGGATTTTGGTGATGTGACCTCGAATAGATGGTTCTATGTCACGTGTTGGAGAAAGTTACCGATCACACTTACACTATCAGGTTAGAATATCCAATTGTCACATTACATATTTCAAGGAAGGACGCCTTAGTATGAATTAATACCTTTGTAGGCTGCATTAGATATTACAGTTTTAGATCATGTCAAGAGGCTAGGTACCCAACCGAGGCAGAGTACTTTTAAGAGGACCACAAACGCTTTCCAAGTCTGGTGGAATATATACAATATATATTGAATAGGTGATTTTGAGTTAAGTGTACCCAGGTCCAAAACATCGTATGTCAATCACATAGATAATATAGAAAATAATAATAATAATAATAATAATATAGAAAGAAAATGGCTTCCAAAAACATAAATCAGGTGAACCTTACCAAACCTCAAACACTTCATTCCAAATGTATCTCAGTTTTACTTTGATAGTCCTGGGAGTAGTTGATATCACCCACACAATAACAGATAGTCTGGGTTCCTGCTTAAAGGAATTGTAAAAAACTAGAAATCCCTGACCGACACACACACACAAAATGAGAAGCCTAAAACAAACCCAATACACACAATGAGTTCATGGTGAACTCCGAATTGGCACAATGAGTGTATGGTGAACTCCGAATTGGCACAATGAGTGTATGGTGAACTCCGAATTGGCACAATGAGTGTATGGTGAACTCCGAATTGGCACAATGAGTGTATGGTGAACTCAGAATTGGCACAATGAGTGTATGGTGAACTCAGAATTGGCACAATGAGTGTATGGTGAACTCAGAATTGGCACAATGAGTTCATGGTGAAGTTTCCCTGGAATTAGTAAATATTGCGTGGATTAACCTGCAGTAACTGTCCTCTAAATACACCAAAAAGGAAACTAATCAGGATCTTTCCTTTATCTTTGCAAATGCATCCTACATCGTTGTGGCTAATTCCAAGGTGAATTTCGAATCTAATAACAAAAGGGAAACACAGGACGCGAGTTACTTCCAGCAAGCTTACTTGCAGTCTGAGATATGATCGGATATATTCGGGTGTAGATGTCTGTCCTGTACGGAGATCTTGTTGTTGAGCAAACATTAGGTGGAAAATATACCCAACATCCTCTGTGTAACTGTTGGGTTAGGAGAAATCCCAAGCTCTGTCCTGGTCTATTAATACAGGTCCCTCATGAGCAATTTTTGTGGATATTTAGCTACAGATATAGAAGAGGTCGATTATGTTTTGTACAAATCTTCAAAGCTGAAGAGGGGATTTCCTTCTATCTCCTGGTTTCATTTTGCCATCTACTTTCCATAACGTTCGGTTTTTTCACAGACTCCTGCCTTCGAAACATCAGGAGCTGGATTAGTCTTATATCTGTATTCTGCTTTAAATACAAAATCCTTTTCCACATGAACCATCAACTTTTTTTTTTATTTTTAATAATCCGGTTTAATTAACGCAACTGCTAATGTATCAATGTTCATTTCTGAAACCTTTACTAGATTTGGAGATTTATTTTGGGCCAAAGTGCAAATGGACAGAATGTATGAATTCCGAAACTCGGGAGCCAAAATGCACCCAATGCATAGACCAAGTATAATTCTTTGTGTTTGGAAAGTCTACACGTTAGGAAGTCTTTTTTTTTTTTTTTTTAACCAGTGGCACCACAACAACAAATATCTGATACACAGATTCTTAACTTCTCAATGTCAGCATTATATCCCTCACATCACTCTTTGATATACACACATAAAGAGATATTAAATAACCGAGTCACAGGAAATACATATAGAGATATTAAAATAACCGAGTCACGGGAAATACATATAGAGATATTAAAATAACCGAGTCACGGGCGATCCATATAGAGATATTAAAATAACCGAGTCACGGGCGATCCATATAGAGATATTAAAATAACCGAGTCACGGGCGATCCATATAGAGATATTAAATAACCGAGTCACGGGAGATCCATATCGAGATATTAAATAACCGAGTCACGGGAGATCCATATCGAGATATTAAATAAGAGTCACGGGAGATCCATATCGAGATATTAAATAACAGTCACGGGAGATCCATATCGAGATATTAAATAACAGAGTCACGGGAGATCCATATCGAGATATTAAATAACAGAGTCACGGGAGATCCATATCGAGATATTAAATAACAGAGTCACGGGAGATCCATATCGAGATATTAAATAACAGAGTCACGGGAGATCCATATCGAGATATTAAATAACAGAGTCACGGGAGATCCATATCGAGATATTAAATAACAGAGTCACGGGAGATCCATATCGAGATATTAAATAACAGAGTCACGGGAGATCCATATCGAGATATTAAATAACAGAGTCACGGGAGATCCATATCGAGATATTAAATAACAGAGTCACGGGAGATCCATATCGAGATATTAAATAACAGAGTCACGGGAGATCCATATCGAGATATTAAATAACAGAGTCACGGGAGATACATATAGAGATATTAAATAACCGAGTCACGGGAGATACATATAGAGATATTAAATAACCGAGTCACGGGAGATACATATAGAGATATTAAAATAACCGAGTCACGGGAGATACATATAGAGATATTAAAATAACCGGAAGAGAGATACATTCAGGGCCATTTAAAATAGTGTGCCGTGTGTAATTTCTGACTATATATATATATATATACATATATATATATATATATAATTGAAGAGAGATACAGATGAATAAAACTACAGCAATGGGATACAAAATATATTAGCATGTGATTTAGAAATGAAGATATTATAGGTTACCGGAACAGGACACATACACTATGTAATAAGATATATAATATAATAAGTGCAATAAAGACGCCTCAAGCATTGGGTAGTTCCGGATACATTAAATAATGATGGCACCAAGTATACATAAAACACAAAAATTAAACATTACAGCTGACGGCATTTAAACAAATATTAATAAATACAAGAGTTTATAATTATTTTTTTTTTTAAATAAAAGTAAATAGAACGGGATAATATTTCATAAACCTGCGTTTCTATATACACTGATAAACAACAAATCAGACTTGAGATATTCCTCCAGCTAGGTGATCTCCCACTCAGGCCCCAAGACACAGACTCCCCAGGCCTCAGCACACACAGACCGATCCCCACAACACAGACTGATCCCCACACAGACCGAGATCCCCCAGGCCCCCAGCACACAGACCGATCCCAGGCCCCACACAGACCGATCCCCAGTCTCCACACAGACCGATCCCCAGCACACGACCGATCCCCAGTCCCGCAGCACACAGACCGACCAAGCACACAGACCGATCCCAGCACACAGACCGATCCCAGCACACAGACTGATCCCCCAGGCCCCCAGCACAGACCGATCCCCAGCACAGACCGATCCCAGCACACAGACCGACTCCAGCACACAGACCGATCCACCCAGGGTCCCACAACACAGACCGATCCCAGCACACAGACCGATCCCACAGACCGATCCCAGCACACAGACCGATCCCCAGGTCTCCAGCACACAGACCGATCCCAGCACACAGACCGATCCCAGGCCCCCAGCACGACCGACTCCAGCCCCCAGCACACACAGACCGACCCAGCACACACAGACCGGATCCCCAGCACACAGACCGATCCCTGCCACAGACCGATCCCAGCACAGACCGAACCTCCCCAGGCCCCGCACAGACCGATCCCCAGCCCCACACAGACTGATCCCCCTCCTCCAGCCCCCGCACAGACCGATCCCCAGCATCCCCAACACAGACCGATCCCCCAGCCCCCACAGACGATCCCCAGGCCCCCGCACAGACCGATCCCCAGCCCCCCACACAGACCGATCCCCAGCACAGACCGACCCCCAGGTCCCCCAGCACACAGACCGATCCCCCTGGCCCCCAGCACACAGACCGATCCCCCAGCACAGACGATCCTCCCCAGCCCCCTCAGCAACAGATCACCGATCCCCAGTCCCCGCACATAGACCGATCCTCCAGCCCCCGCACACAGACCGACCTCCCCCAGGGGCCCCCCGCACACAGACTGACCCCCCCGGCTATAACAATAACAAAGCCCAGCTCCCCCCGGCTCTCCTACCTGAGTGTCCGCCATGTTGGTCCGGCCCGCGGGCCTGCTCCGATCCCTCACACAATCCTCGCCGACTCTGCTACCAGGGGAACGGCACTGAGCGGGCAGGGGCGGGGCCTGGGGAGGGGCGGGGCCTGGGGAGGGGGTGACGGGAGGGGCGGGGCCTCTGTGAGGGATGGCGGGAAAGGAGGAGTCCTGAGAATTACTGGACTGAAACAAAGGGGGCGGGGCGGAGTGGGAGATTAAAGGAACCAATAGGATGGAGCAGGGGGAGTGTCATGGATGACATCACTGGACCATACCAACTAGGGAGGGGGGGAATAGGGCAATACCAACTAGGGAGGGGGGAATAGGGCAATACCAACTAGGGAGGGGGGGAATAGGGCAATACCAACTAGGGAGGGGGGGAATAGGGCACACCAAAATCAGGGAGGGATTAGGGGCACACCAACTAGGAGGGGAAGAGGGCACACCAACTAGGGAGGGGAACAGTAATGCACCAACTAGGAGGGGGGGCACACCAACTAGGGAGGGGAATAGGGCACACCACAACTAGGAGGGGAATAGGATCAACACCAACTAGGAGGGGGAATAGGGCACAAATTAACTAGAGGGGGAATAGGGCACACCCAACTAGGAGGGGGGAATAGGCAACACCAACTAGGGAGGGGGGAATAGGGCACACCAACTAGGAGGGGGGAACAGGGCACACCAACTAGGAGGGGGATTAGGCACACCAACTAGGAGGGGGAATAGGGGCACACCAACTAGGAGGGGGAAATAGGACAATGCAACAACTAGGAGGGGGCACCAACTAGGAGGGGGGAACAAATACCAACTAGGAGGGGAATAGGACACCAACTAGGGAGAGGGGGCACACCAATCCAGGAGGGGAATAGGGCAACACCAACTAGGAGGGGGGAATAGGACACACCAACTAGGAGGGGGCACACAACTAGGGAGGGGGAATAGGGCACACCAACTAGGAGGGAGGGGAATAGGACAACACCAACTAGGGGAATAGGGCACACCAACTAGGAGGGGAATAGGACAATACCAACTAGGGAGGGGGGCAATACCAACTAGGGAGGGGGGGCAATACCAACTAGGGAGGGGGGGAATAGGGCAATACCAACTAGGGAGGGGGGGGGATAGGACAATACCAACTAGGGAGGGGGGCAATACCAACTAGGGAGGGGGGTTAGGACAATACCAACTAGGGAGGGGTGATTAGGGCAATACCAACTAGGGAGGAGGATTACACACACTGATGTTACTACTTAGAAATCCCTCAATATTAATACAGACATCAGAGGAAACACCAATAAACTGTGCAAACAGAGCTGATCCCCCCAAAGATTTGCTTAGTGGATTTGTTGTAAGATTAAATCATGCCTCCTCCTCTCTCTCTCCCATGTGCTGCTCTGTAAACTGGGAGGAAGTGAAGAGTAATCACAATTGTAATGGACCGTTTCAGCACACAAGGGGTTAAAATGATACCGGAGAAACTGACGGAAGCAAAGCACAGAGGGATGGACACAGGTTTTGATACCGGAGAAACTGACGGAAGCAAAGCACAGAGGGATGGACACAGGTTTCTTCAGGAAGGAAGAGATTCTTTATTGGATCACCGATCGGGACTCAGAGGGACTAATGTCACCAAAAATACAGCAAGTTCTGAGCCCTGAACAATAGTGCAGGCTCCCTATATAGGCACATAACTCCTCCCATATTAAGCTCCACCCGCACATTCTCTTGACCAATCATTACAAATAAGAATTAACTTCCTGCTTGACCGCATGGCTTGTCCAGCACAATGGAGGAGGGGAATACTACATCCTGTATTCTTGCACATGCTCCGTACACTACTGATCGTATCTTGCCTCGTGCAACCAACTGATCGATACGTCAGCATATGCACGTACACATGCCACGTGGTAATCTCGGCCTACTAAATTTATTTTTACCGAGATTCCACCACATTCCCCCCTTTGATGCCTCTTGATATTTTACAATTACTTGAGGCATCACTTAACCTTGGTTTGCATACACCACAAGTTACCTTTGAACCAGACCAGACTTATCCTATGATGTGAATCTTCAACACTCGTCTTCCTGCATTGGTTCTCCCTGATCTAGAGCCTTATATTTATAAATTGCCATTATCTGTGCAGCAGCCTTCCTCTCTGCTATATTTTCTATCAGGCTTTGCACAGACCTAACTACTAAGGGTATAAGACACGGCAGGAGTAGACACAACATTAAAATCAGTAGGACTCCACCTACCACTGCCTTAAGCCCTCCAAACCACTCATACCAGCTACCAAACCAACTACTTGGATTGTACCCTTTCCATACCTGAGTAGGCACATGCGCTAGTTTAACCATATGGCTAGTAAGCTCAGCTATTGCTTGCCCTTCGTCATCTATTTGAAGACAGCAATTGCTCAGGTTAAACTTCCCACATACACCTCCCTCTACTGCCAAAAGATAATCCAAGGCTAATCTATTTTGGTAAACTGCTGTTCTCATCCTGGTATTATGCTTCGCTAGAAGATTGAGCGCTTGTGATGTCTCGTTAGTAATGATCTCAACCACCGCCTGTAACCTTATAATGCGGTTGAGCATATAAATAGGGGTTCTATAACCAAAGGTACCATCCTCTGCCCACGTGGCTGGCCCATAATAATCTATAATACGCTGGGGAGGCCATTCATTATCTTCCCAGGCACCTATCTCTATGGGTCCCCTTTTCTTCCTATGATTCACATCATACACTTTAACACCTAAAGTCTCACCTGTTTCAATAGGCAACAAGAAGAAGGATGGTTTCAACATACCCAACACACATGCCCCTTCCCAGTCCTGTGGTAACTCCGAATAGGCCTTCTTACCACAGATCCAGTACAAATTCGCTGGGGCTCTCCAGTTAGATGTGATGGATAGATCAAACCATACGTCCTTTAAATTGGCATATCTTGCAAACGGGTTAGATGGTTCTGAGACATTTGAAGCCGACCACCAAGTTGTATTCTTTGTATCATCATCATAAGCTTTTTGCCCTAGACAAGTTAATTCTCCTACAGAAGTATTATACATCATTCCTTTCCTCGCTATGCAAACATAACCTATGATGGAGGTCTTCAATCTCCACTCAGATTTACCTCTAACACTCATATGATAGTCGGCTTGTGTAGATATTAATTGGTCAACTGCCTCAGAACCGGACATTACCTCCTTTGCTTCCCAAGGCCATTGGTCTCCCATGTTAGTACCTCCACACACATAGCAGTTGGTAACATTAAGACTACCGGCAATACTCTCGGCTAAATCAATAAACAAGTTTTTAGCATTATGGGGGATCTTATTATCTATGCTCATCTCTTCATAAAAGGAATGGTATACTTGATGAGTTTGGGAGGTTACCGTATCAGTCTCTATCCCTATAAACAATATTGTCCCAGGGTCTAAACCCGTCCCATATATTTGAAACCCAAATAAATTACCATATTTATCTAAGAACTTGTCAGGGTTATTTATAAGTATATGGATTGGATTGCATTCCATAGACTTACAATATGGATTAGTAGGCAACTTAGTCACAATCATGTCCTTGTCTGCTGTCTGTCCCCAAGTCGCCCACCCCACACAAGACCAATATGGGCAGAAGTTATAATCTCTATTTGGGCATCTTGGACTTACATATTTATTTTTACTACTGGGACAAATATATTTATCGTTAGACCCATACGTCCTCTCCCATCTAAGATCCCCACATACATTCCACGGCTTTCTACCACTTGATATTGCTTTACACGCATCAAATAGCAGAGCACCTGAAGAATATACGGATTCTAATACCGTCTTATTAATTAGGGTCCCCTGAGGATCTCCATTTCTGAGAGTCAACCAAATTGTACGGGGTTGATACTCAGGACTGAAGCACTTAGGTTCTCCTACTCCTAAATGACACACACTATATTCTATATTTAAGTATCTACATCTTGATACATCTCCTTTACACTCATATTGCGAATGCCAAATTAGGGTCTGGGATATATGGTTACCTGTTCTTGTAGTCTTAATGCATACCTCACAGCTAGGAGTGTTGGTACCTCTACCTTCCTGAATATAAAAATACACATAAATAAACATTATTAAAAATACATCTTTCGTCGTCATCCTCAGTCTTCGTCCGTGCGAAGGCACCTCAGCTTCCAGGATGTAAGGGCTGCAGGGAATGGAGTTCTGCTCGTCTTCACAGGGGTCCCTCAAGACTTTCCCTGACTTATACACTCGTTGGTGAGTGGACAGGCTTTATTATGGCCTTCTCACTCACTTACCAAGTCTCTGAAACAATAAAATTTGTAATCTACAAGATTCCTCGTCACTCCGACTGAGTCGTGCGTTTTAACCGGATCTTGCAGGGATTCTCTGGATTTGCTGTAACTTGCCAGGAATCGGCTGCTGCTGGTTTAACCCTGGAGTGATGTATCCACGGAGCCACTTCGGCTACTTTTATCGCTGTAGGGTAGACAGAAGAACAACATAAGGACCTCTCCACTTGGGCCCTAACGGCACATTATTCCACTCTTTAATCCACACTTGGTCGCCTGGGTGGTAACTATGAATTGGGGGATAAATATTCACAGGTAATCTATCTTGTACCCATTTCTGTACCTCCTCCATAGTCTTACCCAACTCTACAACCTGCTGCCGGGTAATTCCTTCTCCCAACTGACTCAAATCCCCCCTTAAGTTACCAAGCACGGGAGGTGGTCGCCCGTACATGATTTCAAAAGGAGAGAGGCCCATCCTTCTGGTAGGTGTACTACGGATTCGCAATAGAGCTATGGGCAAGAGAACGTTCCACTTAAGTTGGGTTTCCTGACACATTTTAGCCAACTGATTCTTAATAGTTCTATTCATTCTCTCTACCTTACCAGAACTCTGGGGTCTATATGCCGTATGAAGCCTCCACTTTATACCAAGCATATGAGTCAGTTGTTGTAAGCACTGATGAACAAAAGCTGGACCATTGTCCGATCCTATAGAGCAGGGTAGTCCATATCGGGTATTATTTCTCGTAGCAGGAATCTCACGACTTCTCCTGCTT